GTCGCCTTGCACGCGATGAACGGTCGCCTTGCACGCGATGAACTGTCGCCTTGCACGCGATGAACGGTCGCCTTGCACGTGATGAACGGTCGCCTTGCACGCGATCAACTGTCGCCTTGCACGCGATCAACTGTCGCCTTGCACGTGATGAACTGTCGCCTTGCACGTGATGAACTGTCGCCTTACACGTGATGCTTTTTTACCAGCAGAATGTATTCGTGCGTTACTTGTGAAATTAAAAATTATCCCTAAAAACCAAAATAAATGACCCTGCAAAGGAGAGGCAGGGAAGGGAGCCTAGATTCCAGGTATAGCTGCCCGCATGGCTCTGGTTCCCAGCTCTGGGTCATGCATGTGAAGAGGGGGGAGCTGGCGGACACGCTAGGCCACGTCCTGAACCTGCGTTATACCGCCTGCCCGCATTTCAGCTTTCCACTCTGGGATGGTACTTGTTTAAAACAGGGGGAGCAGAAGAAATTACTTTCAATTCGCCTGTTATACAGAAGAGCAGAACTCACTTTCTGTGTCAAGCTGAGATCACCTGGGAACATGTCTCCGCGAAGCAACAGTGAGCCAAGCGTTTTCTAAATCCAATTTTTTTCTCACTGTGAGAGTAATACGTGCTTATTTAAAGCTTTGAGAGCTTTAAAAATATGGTTGTTTGTTTTAAGGTTCCCAAACTGTCAAATGGCCATAGTAAACATTTTGGTCTTTTTCTGTCCAGCCTTTATCCGTGGAAATCTTTGCTTTGCTGAAGTCAAATTACAACATATTTCGAACACCGCTCTTTTAAACTTAACGTTATAGCCTATGCCTCTCCCACATTAACAACAACAACAACAAACACTTGACAAAGATGGTTCATTATGGCTATGTAATATTCCAGTGACTGCTTAATCATTTTGCTGTCGGGACACGCACACGCTCTCCTCTCCGGCCTTCCTTTGTAACCAGGTGTTGGGAAATCTTTGTGCACATCACAGCATTTCCCAAATCGTGTTCTGTGGAATGTCCTCAGGACGTTCAGAGATGTTATGGGAGGAAAAACTAGTTCTACAGGCAAAAAAGCTGGTTTAAAAATGAAGGTGGATGGATGACGGCTTCAAGCCCGTGCCAAGCCTGTATACCTGTGACTCCCCAAGCTCAGGGCAGCTGGTCAGCCACTCCCGGGCTCATCTGCTCTTACAACTCCATTTCAGGCTAGCCTCAGTCATGGTCAACGGAATTCCTAGGTCAGATGGTACTGAGCACTTTGCAAGCTATCACCGTGTCACTCCAAGCTGCTCTCCATAAAGCCGGCCCTGGGTCACACCGCCACAAGCACGTCTGAACGTGTCGTCCAACAGCTAGGCAGGACCATGGAGTTTTCAGTCTTTGCTGACAGGCAACATGATAACCTCACCGCTATGTTATTTCTATTTCTTTGATGATGGCCAAGTTGAGTATTTGAGTGCCCGTTAGATACTCTTACTATCTACCTAAATACAGTCTGTACTATTTCTTCTGCGAACCACCTTATTTCTTAGGCTAAGACGCTTCTTTTTTTCTAAACTTTAATTAACCAGAGGACTTCTTACAATCAAAATGCTTAAGTGGCTGTGGATTTGTTCTCTTCCCTAAAAAGCTGTTAATACACTGATAATTTTTAAAAATAAATGGTTACATCTTTAAAAAAATTTTTTTTAAATAGCTGTTTGTATCTACTGGGCCCTTAGTGTGTTTTGTTTTTTTCATGATCTGCACGATCTTTTTTCACACAAAAGCTATTAACCCTTTGCCTGTCATTTGGGCTGCTGCTTTCAAAATGCACACAATCCCCTTTAAGTTCCCAGCTAGATACCTTTGAGGAGGTGCAACAGCGTTAAGGATAAATACTGGTGTGGGGGGGGCTCCTTCTGATCCCGGGTGTACTGGGTGGTGAACTCTTCCAGCCACTTGATGAAAGCGGGGCAGGCAGACAGGCCTTGCAGCAGGGAGTTCATGAAGCAGGTGTTCCCTAGGTTGACAAGGCCAGGCACCAGCCCTGAAAAAAAGTTGGGGGAAGAAGAGAAAAGCATATCACATTGGACCTGCTCTTTCTTTCTCTCCCATTTGGGAGCCAGACTTTCTGCACTGGAACCTGACACTGAAAATCCCAATCTCAGAAAGTCCTTATCCACAGATGTTGGTGGTGGCGGGGGGGGACCAGGCATTCTGTCCGTATGGAGGCCTGGTCCCAGCGCTGCTCCTTCAGAAGACTGGAAGCGACAGAAGGACAGGTCCCCTGTCATGGGTTACTTCTGACCGCCACCACGGTGTCTGGCACAGTTTGTACAAAACACTTCGTAACATCTCTCTCTCTCTCTCTTTCTCTCTCTCCTTTGATAAGAAAGCAACATCAGAACAGAAGAAAACAACTGTTCTTTTGTTGCTCCCCAGGACAATGCTTTTGTTCTTGTAATCAGTGTGAAAGACACCACCACAACAATTTTGATCAGTCTTTCTGCAGAGAGATCGACAAAATCTGACGTACTTTCCTTTTCTGCTGAAACTTTTCCAAGAAACTTTTTATTAGGAAAGTTCTCACGCATGCATAAAAGAAGAGAGGATATATCATCACCTCCAATCATAACCACCCCCAGATTTAACAACGATCAACATTTTGCTATACCGAACCCTTTTTTTGTTTGCTTGTTGTGGCTGAGTTCTAATCAACATAGGGAGAGTAGCATTTACAAAAGGGGGCTTGTTTTAAAATAAGGAAATAGAATTTTGTCCTAAAGATGCTAACTGGAAACTCTTGCTAGCCGACTAGCAGCTCAGCAGTGAGAACAAAAACGCATCACACAATCAGTCAGCCGCACTGCTGAACACAAGCACCAGATGAAGGAGAACAGTCATTTAAGCCATGTGAACTTTTTCGTGGCACAGCATGTCTCAAACTCAAGATTTGAGGGGGGGAACAGAAATCTCTGTACTATAGGGTCTAAAATAATGAGTCATTAATTTCTGCTTAAAAGAAAGCGCTGTCCGAAAGCTGGAGATACAAGAGAACAAAAAATGCCCACCCCTTATGGTACTGTTGTGGGACAGTACGGGGTTAATGACTTCATTCTTACCTTTTCTACGCTTCTTTCTTTCTGTAATAGGACCCCAAATCACATAGATTCCTGCGGCAAGAGCGGCAGCAATTCCTCCTATAACACCCCAGTTCTTCATGACTTTATACCTAGAAAGAAAAATAGGTTTACTGTCTTCCCTCATCACAAACGCACCATGTGTAAATACAGATAGAGGTACGAAGAAATAACATTTCATCAAAGTAACCGACTGGCCCACCCAATACCTAACTTTCAAGTTGAAGTCATCATACAGTACAGGATTATGTCTTGAAAATCAGCTATGTTCAGACAGGATTTAAAACCTAAGTCAGGGCACAGAAGCCCCATCTCACTCAGAGGGGGAGCCCAGGTTTTCCCCCCTTACTCTACCTCCCACACCGGCTACCTTAGGACCTTAGCATGGCTGCTCCCTTTGCCTGGAATACTCTCCCCCTCCCCAGATCACTGCATGGCTCTCTGGCTCACTTCCCGTGCATTTCTAACCAACAGTGAGAACCTGCACTCCTGGTCCCTGCTACCCAGTTCTGTGTTTTCTTTTTACCACCTTCTGCCATAAACATTCACTTATTAACTACGGTTATTGTCTGTGTCCCTCACTGGGGAGCAAAATCCCTGTGGGCAGGGATCTTTGTCTGTTTTACTCATTGACATATCCCAAGTCTCTAGATCATGCCTGGCACCTAAGAGGTCCCTAACAGTATTTACTGAATGACTGGATACTGGAGAAAACATATAGAAACGAATTGATCTTTTAGAATATTAAACAGGGAGGAGGCAAACAATAGCATAAAGGATCTTCTAAATCTTTACTAAATTAAAAATTTCTTGAGACTTGACTTAAGCACTGAAGTTATTCTTTCACTACAAGTGAAGACATTTAAGCAATTTAAAACAGTTTTTATACAAAGTTATGTATTTCCACCAAATAAGACAAACGATATGTGTGTGAATATATATATGTGTAATATATACCTGTATACATGTGTTTGATATGTGTATTTGTGTGTGTAATATGTTCTTATTCCAATATTTGGATCATATGAATCTTGTTTTGAGCTCAGCTCAGTCAACATTAAACCAACATCTTCCTAATGTCATAACTAGTATGACACATAACTGACAACTGAATTCCAAATAAATCTTTGTTCTCTGAACACAGAGTCAACAGAATGCACACAGAACTTGGTTAAGAAAGGGGCGCTGCATTAATCTGGTTCGATTCTGGCTCTGCCATTCCTTAGAGGATCATTTTAGCGTCTCAGGCTCAGCTTTGTCACATGTACAATGGGGACAACCATGAGACCTAGCTCATGGAGTTCTGAGAATCAAACAAGTGCTAGGGCATAGGAGGCAAAGGTAAGGGCTTCATAAACATTAGCCGCTATGATTATTAAGTATTATCATCTCAATTTCATTCGGGAAAGTTATCCTTGAATTTCTTAGTGCTTTATTGTGCTGACTTCCACGCAAAAGGTGTATTAACAAAAGTGCCTGGAAAGGTTAAAAAGAACCATCACTGAAATTCTAAAGCACTTTTACAACTGCTTTAAATCCCCTAAGCAAACACTAATATTTAAGTGTGCATACTCTATGCCAGGCACTGTGATCATCTTATCTCATCCTGAAAACAATCCCACAGGTAGGTTCTATTATCATCTTCATTTTCTTTTCTTTCTTCCTTCCTTTTTTTTTTTTTTTTTAAGATTTTTATCTATTTGAGAGGGAGCGAGAGCACGAGCAGGGGAAGGGGCAGAGGGAGAGGGAGAAGCAGACTCCCCTGCTGATCAGGGAGCCAGAGGTGGGACTCGATCCCAGGACCCTGAAATCATGACTTGAGCTGAAGGCAGACGCTTAACCGAATGAACCACCCAGGTGCCCCTATCATCTTCATTTTCTTTCTTCCTTTTTTTTTTCATCTTCATTTTCATGTTAGAGATGTAGCCAACTTGGTCAAAGTGAGTGAGGCAGCGTGGATCTGAACTCATGCCAAGTCTGTGCTTAAAACCACAAACCTTGTGAGGGAAATGGGAGGACAGAGTGTCGAAGGGATGGGAGAGAGGACTTGCCCAGGTTCCTCAGCAAGGTATGGACAAAAAAACCGAGTGAAATTTGGTGACTCTGGAACCCCCATTCCTCTGCAAAATGACAACACAAGGAGAGCAGTGGGGTCTGGGAATAAAAAGATCTGTCTTCTCCCCCCGCTCTACTCTGAGGTCAGCTGTAGGGCCACAGGCAAAGCCATCTGAAGGCCTGTTTCCCATCTACAGAATGGGGGCACTGGATAGGATAGCCATTAAGAGCTCCCGGCCCTGGACTAATAAGCTCTTTAAACCTGCTCCAGTTCCAGAGGAAAGCAGCTAGGCTGAGCAACAGGTCTCAGTCATTTAGGGTCAGTAACGGGGGTGCAGTGTTCAGCTCTCAAGACTGGAGCCCATGGGAGGATGAAGAAAAGAAGGGAAATAGGGTCCCTGACAGGACTGGGGGCCCATACTATTGGGGTTCCTAGCAGGAATGGGAGACCTTAACAGGACTGGAAGCCTTTACAGGTTAAGGAGTCCTGATCTGTTCCAGAACCCTTGCAAGATAGAGATTCACTAATAAGACTGAGGACCCACACAGAATAAGGGATCCTTGGCTTAACTGGGGGGTGGGGGGATGACAGGAATAGGGCTACTGACAAAATGGGGTAAGGGCCAGCAGACCTGGGTCGCTTTGCAGCGCTGTGAGAACCACGGCAGGGCTGGGGCGCTCGGCAAGACTGCGGAACGCTGGCGGCCCAGGGAATGACAAGACCGGGGGCCCCAGAAGGATTGGGGGTACCCTGAAAGGATTAAGGGGTCCTGGAAGGCCTGCGCGGCACTGAGAGGTCTGAGGGACACTGGCAGAATTCGGGGCTTTGACAAGCCTGAGGGTGTCTGGAAGTTCGGGGGACAGGACAGGACTGGAGGAGGCACTGGCAGGTGGGAGGCAGGGCACCGAGAATTTGGGGCGCTAGCCGAACTGGGAAGGGCTGACAGAATTGGCGTTGCCGAAGAACTGGAGGGCCTGGAGGCCCATCCGCCGTCCCGCTTCGGAGCCTGGGCCTCCAACCGAGCCCGACGCAGAAGCCTCCGGAATGCTCGCTCCGGCCCTGGGGACCCTGCCAGCGCGGTGAAAGGCCGCCGCAGGCGCGAGCTGGGGACCCTGGCCCCGGCCTCTCCGGCCGCCCCGCCCCCCAAGCCTCACCTGACGGCCGCCCCTGTCCGCAGGAAGCGCTGGATGGCCCGGTCGGCCGCGGTCATCGCCGCCTGAGCCCGGGAGCTCAGCATCGCTGCCGCGCGGGAGACCCGCCGCCCGCCCCGCCGCTCCCACCGCGCTGGACGGAGGGATCCCAAGGCTCCCGAGGCGGCGGAACCCGCAGCCGCAGTCCCAGCTCCTCCGGGGAAGGTAGGAGGAAGTACGGGCTCCCCGGAGAAGCGGAAGCAGCTGCCGCCGGAGGACAAGAGCCGACGGACCACATCCTTGTTTCCCCTTCTCCCCCTTAGCAACCGGCGCCGGCGTCGGTTACCAAGGGAGGGCCTGCGGCCCGCTGCCCGCTGGGTGTTCAACTTTTACTCTGGCTCGGTGCATTTTAAACACAGATGTCCCACTTCCAGCTCCTGGGGTCATTTTAATTTTTTCGTTATGAAGAGGGCAGTCCCGCCCGAAAGCGGGATCAGGCCTCGGCCACCCTTAGGTATCACCCTCTGTTGTCATCAGAGTGTAAATAGGTCGCAGAGGAAGGGCCTTTACTGAGCAGGCTGGCCCATCTCTGATGGCATCAGTAGAGAGAGCGAGGCCTTCGACAATAGCCACCGAACTTACTGTTTACTTACATGCATTGCTAAGTACGTCACATGCATTACTCACATTCTACCTTCACACCAACCCTAACGTGACCCACACTTCACAGGAAGTAGGAAGTAGCTTGTAAGTGGTGGAAACAAGAGATGGGCCGTGAAGTCTCTTTCTCTCCAGAACAGCGCTGTCCCGTAGAAATATAACAGGGGCCACATTTTAAATTCTTTTTTTTTTTTTTAAGATTTTTATTTATTCATTTGTGGGAGAGACGGAGAGAGAACAAGCAGGGGGAGAGGCAGAGGGAGAGGGAGAAGCAGACTCCCTGCTGAGCAAGGAGCCCCATGCGGGACTCGATTCCAGGACCCTCTGAGCCACCCAGGCGCCCCACATTTTAAATTTTCTAATAGCCACGTGAAAGTTTTTTTTTAAGATGAAATTAATATTAACAATAGCTTTTACTTGACCCGCTATGTCCAAAATATTGTCATTTCTTTATAATAGTTTTTAACAAGATCCTTTACATTCTTTTTTTGTACTGAGTACATCTCGATTTGAACCGGGCGCTTTTCATGCGCTCAATAGCCACATGTGGCCAGTGGCTACCACGTTGGACAACACAGCTTCTAGAACCTTAGAGCCAGAGAGAATTTGCATTAATCACTCTCCCCAACTCCAGAGCAAGTGATTGCACCTGCTTTAGTAAAGAAATCAATGCTTTAATTTAGTGGCTCTCAAAGTTTTTGGTCTCAGGACCCTTTGGTATGCTTAAAAATTTCTGAGATCTTTTGTGTATGTGGGTTATATCTAAGTATATGTACACTATTAGAAATTAAAATCGAGAAATAATTTTGTTTTCTTTTTAAACTGAGGTATCATTTATACAATAAGATTCACCTATATTTGGTTCTGTGAATTTTGGCAAATGCATAGTGGTGTAACCACTACCACAAACAAGGTATAGCACCTTCACCCCCCACCCCAAATAAAATTACTGCCTGTCCCTTTGTAGTCCACTCCTCCACCCAACTCCAGTCCTTGGCAACCACTGATTAAGGCTGAGAAAAGTTTTAAAATCCAAGAATACCAAAGCATACATTCCATTAGACGTTGAAGCTGCGACTTCATCACCTGCTGTGAACCTCTGGAAGACTCCAGGGTGCACTCATGAGTGAGTGACAGTGGAAAAGGCAAATAAAAAAAAAGTCTTAGTGTTATTATGAAAATAGTTTTGACCTCAATAAGCTCCTGAAAAGGTCCTCAAAATGGGGTCCTGCAACTGTATTTTGAGAACTGCTACAGTAACCTGCCTAGTGAATATTCTGCCATCCGAAACGACAAGTATGCTAAGAAGTCTACATACCAGACTATTTTAAATAATTGGCATTTACAGAGTATAGTCAATCAATTCACAGAATTTTGACCATTTTATATACCTTATTTCAATTTAATTCTTGCAATGACCCCATGAGTAATAACAGTGCAAACAGTCCACCAAATTATGATGATCTGACTTACGACATTTTGACGTTACAATGGTGTGAAAACTACATGCATTCAGTTGAAACCTTACTTTGAATTTTGAATTTTGATTTTTTCCTGGGCTGGCAATATGCAGTTCGATGCTCTCTCATGATGGTGGGCAATGGCAGCCAGCCACAGCTCCCAGTCAGCCTGGTGACCAGGAGGGTAAACAACCAATACACTTACAGCCATTCTGCACCCGTACAACCATCCCGTTTCTCACTTTCAGTAAAGTATTTAATAAATTACAAGAGATAGTCAACACTTTATTACAAAATAGGCTTTGAGTTAGATAATTTTGCCCAGCTATCAGCTAACGTAAGTGTTCTGAGTCCATTTAAGATAGGCTAGGCTAAGCTGTAATGTTCAATAGGGTAGGTGTATTAAATGCATTTTTGACTTAGAATATGTTCAATCTATGATGGGTTTATGGGAATGTAGCCCCGTACAAGTCAAGGAAGATCTGTACTCCACATTCCATGAAGTTAAAAATGCCTGCAGCCTGGTCCTTGCTGCTCCTCTAACCAGTAGGGGTGTGGCTGCCATTGACTAATAGAAGTTCTTAAAAATAAGGATATATTACTAATTTATGATGATAGCTGCTGCCAGGAACAAGGCAGTGCCTGCTCTAACATCCATCAGAGGGATCAAGGATTTGCAGCATCCTGGGAGATCACAAGGTCATCTGTCAGAGCCTTTGGCATCTCTCAGCTGCTGGGATTATTTTGCAGGTAAATGGTTTATTTGAGATCCTAAACTCCATGGGATAAAAACCTGAAACGATATTTTTCCAACTGCCCCCACTTATACTAAGTCGGACCTCCTCCTTTCACACCATGGAGTAGGTCCCTAAATAATGCAACTATGTAGCTACTTTCAGAGATCCATCTCATTTCAATACTTAAATCACTGTCCCATTTATTTTTGAATTTAAAACTCAAACGTGTTTCAAAAGTCTTCTCCCAGACTCCAGAAGAGAGAGTGACCTGGAGAGAGAGAAGTCCAGCTCTGAATACCTTTTCCACCCCCTCTGCTAGCTCCCCTGTGTCTCAGAAGATAGCTGTCAGAAACTGTAATCATATTGTCACACAAAGCCACAAGAAAGATCTAGAATCCAGTCGGGCGTCTTTTTGATATTTTTAAAAGTTATCATTGTGCTGTATTTTCCTACCATATAGGTAAACTATGAAAAAGAGCATCGAATTCCTTTCCAGTTTTTAGAACTTGATGCAGGGCTCAACACAGACTTTTCCTTGGGGCATTCTCATTAGTAGAGACCTGGGTGCCCCTCTCCTCAAAAGCTTCATTGAACCAACCCCTCTTAGTAAACCCTGAAGGCAGGACTGGCCCCAAAGCCCGGCTCTGGCTGGCAACTCTCTCAACTTAGATTATGTAGCACTTGCTGTCTTTTATCCTCAGCTTTGGGCCTACATGTCTGTTCTGGAAAGACAAGAAGATAAGATCCTTTCCACACGGATGGAACACTTGCTTTTATTTCCAGACAGAGAAAAGAAAAACAGAAAGATACAAGCATTAGCAGAATGTTGTTATTGTTTTTTTTCTTATGTGGTTGTTTCGTAGACATCCTCCCCCCAAAAAAACCAAAAACCAAAAAACATAACAACAAAATGGCTCAAAAATGGGTAAATTCTGCCTCAAACAACACTCCAGGACTCTCCTGCATTCTTCTGTTGTTATGTTTTTTCCCAGAAGTTCTCTGACCACACAGTTGGCCCTCATCACGTCAGCAACACATTCTTGAAGCTAGTTCTCCCTCCTCCCTGGATGAATTTATGAGTTGACCCCAGGGCCAGAAGGGGATGGGGTGAAGGATAAGCACTATCTCAGATTTCTAAATGTTTAGCAGAGGTGAAAAGGGTTTCTCTGCTTAAACTGGACCCTCTGGGTAGTCAAATGTAAGTGTTACTAGTATTAAAACTACAAGCCTGAACTGGGCTTAAATAAAGAGATTCTTGGTTCTAGATATAGAGCAAAACTTCCATCTGGCTGGCTGTGTGAACTTAAGCAATTCATCTTTTCCCCTGGATGTAATGGTTTATTTTATATATTAACTTGGCTGGGTCATGGTGCACAGAAATTTGGTCAAACATTATTCTGGATGTTTGGGTGAGATTAATATTTAAATCTGTAGACTTTGAATAATATAGATTGCCCTCCCTAACGTGGGTGGGTCTCATCCAATCAGTTGAAGTTTTTTTTTTTTTAAAGATTTATTTATTTATTTTGAGAGAGTGAGAATGAGAAAGAGAGTACATGAGAGGGGGGAGGGTTAGAGGGAGAAGCAGGCTCCCCGCTGAGCGGGGAGCCCAATGTGGGACTCGATCCTGGGACTCCAGGATCATGACCTGAGCCGAAGGCAGTTGCTTAACCGGCTGAGCCACCCAGGCGCCCCCAGCTGAAGTTTTTAATAGAACAAAGAGATTGACCTCCCCCAAACAAGCAGGAATTCTGCTAGCAGATGGCCTTTAGACATGAACTTCAATATTTGCTCTTCTCTGGGTCTGTACCTTGCTGGCCCACCCTGAATATTTTGGACTTGCAAACTTCCAAAATCATGTGAGCCAATACCTTAAAAATGATCTCTCAGTCTCTGTCTCTTTCTCTGATTGAATATATATCAGATTGAAAGCATGAAAAACACAATAACACAGAGTGATGGCAATTATATGAGGAAACAGGTACTCTTGGGGATCCTGTGGGAGCATAAATGAGTATCTCCATCCAGGGCAATTTGAACTACTTAGAAAAATTAAAAATCTGTATGTTCTGTGACCTAAGTATTTATCATACAGAGGTAAGAATAAAGATATTTATTGCAGTCTTGTTGCTAATATCAAAAGATTAGAAGATACTCAGCAAAATTATGGTAACCCATGCAGCAGAGTACTGTGTAGTGTGAAAATAATGAACCAGCTCTTTGTGGACTGACAAGGAAGATTCTAAGATTCTAAGAGTCTAAGACATTGAGAGAAAACAGTAAGTTGTAGGACAATGAAATGGAACACTGTTATTTGTGGGAGAGAACAAAAATTAAGAGTTTATAAATATAGAGAGAATCAAGAAACCAGGAACACTGTTTGCCTCTTGTAAGGAAACTATGTTACTGAGAACAGGGAAAGACATCCTTTTGCCCTTTGTGAATTTTGTACCATGTGCGTGCATTATTTATTCAAAAAATAATTAAAAATTTAAAACTTGAAAAACATAGGGGAAACAGTATCAAAACTGACATTCCTTTTGGTCAGGAATGTTCATTAGAAGCTTGTGAAAAGTGAAAAAAGCAAGCCTCCATAGGATAAATATGATTTCAAATTTATAAAAAGATATTTATGTATGGGTGTCCCAGCATCAAAAAATGACTAGAAGGTTATATTCCCAAAGTGGTAACTCTGGTTATCTCTTTGTTGTATATAGTAATAATTTTTATTTTCTTCTGAATGCTTTTGCATGTTATCTGAATTTCTAAATGGTCATTTATTTCTTTTACAATTAGAAAAACAATTTTTAAAAATATTTTATTTATTTACTTGAGAGGGAGCAGAGGGAGAGGGAAGCAGACCCCCAGTGAGCATGGAGCCTGATGCAGGGCTCGATTCCAGGACCCTGGGTCATGACCTGAGCTGAAGGCAGATGCTTAACTGACTGAGACACCCAGGCACCCCTAGAAAACCAATTTTTAAGAGAAGATTATATGTATGATTTTTTCTTTCTGTAAGCAATAGTTCTGGATTACTGCAACCTTTGTAACTCATATCCTGGTTGATGTCCAGTCTCCAGAGGAATCCTAAAACTCAGCTTTTAAGCTCCTCTTACCTCAGATCCTGACAATATTGAGCCCACATTTAACCCTTTCTAGGTAGCTCTTCAATGTAAGTCCTTTATAAAAATAATTTGCAATAAGCAATTACAGTAATCATTACATAATTTATATGACTGATCAGTTCATACACTGTGTATATTCACTTTCTTAAACTAGCAAGCCGCTATATTATTTTAGAACTTGAATATGGTTAATTGTGTACACTTCCTCCTATTTGCTGTTAATTTATGTCTTGTCAAACAGTGACTGGATTCCTTTCTTTGTTTTTCCCCAGTAAGAATGGCATTCAAAGTCACCCACTCCTATTCAAACAGTAGTCCTATAAGATCTTACCACATTGCTTTAAGAAACTGCCAAATAGTTTTCCAAAGTGTTTGTATCTGCCCCCCAGTTTCTGGCACAAGGCTCCTGAAACCTTTGTGATTTCCTAAGTGTTAAGAGCACTAGGAGCATCTTTCATTCTATTGAGGTGACTCTGAGTGGGCTCTGGATGGCTCTGAATGGGAGCTTGTCACCAGAAAGAGCAAGCCGTGATTAGAAGGTGAGATTTTCAGCTCTACCTTCCATCCTTCAGAAAGGGGAGAGGGACTAGAAATGGGTTAATAATTGATCATGCCTATATGAGGAGGCCTCCATAAAATCCCAATAGTACGGGTTTGGAGAGCTTCCAGGTTGGCAAATGCACCCCAACTCCATGGGGAGAGAAGCTCCAGCATTTTGGGACCCTCCCAGTCCTCAACCCTATGTATTTATTCATCTGGCTGTTCATCTATATCCTTTATCATATCCTTTAATAAACTGATGAATGTAAGGAATTGTTTCTCCAAGTTCTGTGAGCCACTCTAGCAAATTAATTGAACCTGAGGAGGGGGTCATGGGAGCCTCCAATCTGTAGCCAAATTGGACAGAAGTTGTGGATAACCTAATTGCAGTTGTTATCTGTAGTGAGGTAGAAGCACTCTTATGGGATTGAGGCCTTAAACCTGTAGGATCTGACAGTATCTCCAGGTAAATTGTGTCAGGGTTGAGTTAAATTGTAAGACATCCAGCTGGTGTTACAGACAATTGCTTGGTGTGGGAAATCATGGTATGAGAAACCTGTTGGCAGAAGTGTAGTGAATGTGGTAGTAGTTTGAAAAGTAAAAAAGAAACACAGGA